GGTTAAGGGCAACTCTGTTACGGCGGGGTTTTTGGGGGGGGGGGGGGGGCGGTGAAAGGGTGGAGGGGTTCCTAATTGCAGGGTGCCAGAGCTGCAGTAAGAGCTAGGCAAAGTGGGATGGGTAGAAGATTGGTGTAAATGTGCTTGAGGCCTGCTGACTGCTGCCACCACGTAAGATGGGGGGTGGGGAGAGCTGAGGACCTGTGACAGCTTGAGGGAAAGGATGGAGCAGCAGGAAAAGAGGAGAAAGCAGCAGCAACAGCAGCTAGAGAAAGCCTGAGGAGCTTAGCAGGAACCAGATAGCTGGGTGTAGGAAGAAGAAAAGGGATCCACAAGTGTCTCACTACAGCTCTGGGGAGCCAGGGAGACTTTGGTTGGATTAAAATCAGCATGGGGTACAGCTGGAGAGATGGGCCAGGCTGAGACACATCCTCAGAGTGGCTTGTAGTTGATTCCCTGCCTGCATTGCCTGGAGGGAGGGGTGATGGGCTACCCTGCTGGCTACTTCCCCCTGGCCAGCACAAACCGAATACATATTATCTAAAGGTGTGATATTTGGCACCACCAAACATGACACAGGATTTCTGAGGACCTCCTATATTGCTGGGGAAGAGATGTACCCGGAAGTGGAAAATGCCAGCGTATTTCCTGTCAAAGCTCTGGTTTTGTGGCACAACTGCAGCCAAGATGTCCTGGTGGAACGTCAGCGCTTCCAATGCAGCGAGGAACCAGCAGTTCTCTGCGCCAAAACAAATGGACAAACACGGTTGACTGAAAAGTCAGTCATCAGCCAAGTTGAGAAATACCATTAAGATCCTAGCGGAAGACCTATTGTGTTCATTTCTTTAAAATTATAAAGACACACACAAAATGAGATGATCTGGATGTGTGCTTTATTAAACCAGACCCTGTTTGTTTTATGGTTGTTCTCTTGTGATCTTTTCATTTGGATAGTGTGCGGTCAAATAGGAAATCTAACAAGAAATAGCTGTCAATGGAAACATTCTATTTTTTTATTGACGTTACAGGGGTTTTTTTTCTGTTCTCCGGAGAATATACTATTAAAAAAACCTTTCTCTTTTTCTTTGAAAAATTAACTTCTCACAAGAGAAAAATCATTTCTCTTGTGAGAAATGATACAGGATAAGTACAGGCAAGACTGTACTTATCAGACTTTGTGTCTACAGGATTAATTAATTCAGTCCTGATCCTACCCATTTAGCAGATACCAATATATCCTTTTACCTTGGGTAACACAGGCATAAAATTGATTTTCTCAGCTCCAAAGCTGGGAAGAGAATGTACCCACACTATCTAAGTCTTAGGTACACAGATAGCATGAGTCTCAGATTTTCCTGCTTCTGTGGTATCTGTTCAGTTGTCAAGCAGCAACATCACAGACCACGAGGTGCACATGGTCTCTTCAAATTCCAGCACTAGCGTAGACAGAAGCAACAAAGTGCCACTTTCAGTTTGTGGAGACACCTCTCACCCATCAAATCCCACCTTAAAGCTTGCCAGGCTTTTTACTGAGCCTGTCCCATCTTAATTGATTCATTCACATTATGCCAACTGAAAGAATTAGGATATGTGCACCCTCTAGTTGTACACTAAGTTTTATATAGTCAAAATTCTTCTCAAATGTTCTCTTTACATAAGTACATAGATATTTACACAAAGGAGCTTCCTTACCCACTAATCCTTGGCAGAGATCAAGTTGCTTTCTGTTTGCAGCATAAAATACTGGAGCGCTGTGTAAATCCTGGGAAGCACAAGCCCGAAAAGAAAAGAAGGAGAAAGTCAAGTCACTCACAAGGGAACTGTTTTAGCTTGAAGTCAAGGATTCTCTGACTGCAGAGCTGTGATTTCATGAAATGAGAGATTCAGTGGGTTCCCAGACCAGGATGTAAAAACCTCATGGCTAAGTGGCACAAAACATTCTGCCTGTTCACAATACTTAGACACGGTAGCTTTGCCGCAGCAGACACTATTCTGGGTCAGGTGTAACTCTTTTGTTATCACATGCTCTGACTAACTTGACACAAGCCTGGGCATGCACTTATGGTTTGTCCACGCTGAATTTGGTTTCTGAAATAAGCCAGTAGTGCACAGATACAGCAACAACAGACATTGGCTCCCAGTCTGGCTGCTTCTCGGGAGTCCTTAGGCTGAGCATAGGGATCCTAACTGCACAGGGAGATTATAGGGGTATGAGATAAGGGTGTCTATTAAGGTACTACATGTATTCCACTTAGCATCCCATGTGGGCATTTATTTAAGAATGACAGTCAGTGCAGCTTAGTCACTTTAGGAAGGCCATTCTCCAAGCATACGCATACACAAAAAGTTAGGCTTAAACCCTAACGAAACTGGCAAAACTGTTTGTATGAGGCGTTATAGCGACATCGGCTTACCTTCAACTAGTAAAAGTGGGCTGGGAGGTGTGGTCGCCCACTGTCTCCTGGTGTGGTGGGGCCAGCTGTATGCATCACTGACACCAGCCCATCACCATGGGGGTCCACAAACACCTTACTGAGGAGATCGACCCTTCAGATCTGCCAGCCCAGCCCCTCTGTAACTGCTCTTCAACAAGTTTCAGCCAAACCAGGCTACAATGGCAGAGCTCAACCTTTGCAGCCCTCAGCTAACCTGGCTGACATCTCCGCACAGCTCTTGATCTCCTCCATCAGCCCTGGGGCTCCGTGCACAAACACAGGGACTCCAGGGCTGTGATTCTCCACAGCAGCTGTGTCCTCTTACCTCTCCAACTGGTTTGACTGGCAATCGAGCTCCAAACTAACTGATAGCTGCTAAGGAAATTTCTCTTGCTGTGACAAGACTGGGTCTATGAATAATTATTCAGTAAGAAAACACGTTATTCTTTTCCTCTCACAAATGCCTCTGGGGTCAAATTAATAACCTAAGTGTCAAATTTTTGTTTTACTGTTATGACCCACAAACTGCTCAAGCTAATTTTCACACTGTTGGCTTCCTCTTCAGGCAGTAGCAGAGAAATGGGAAACCCTCAAAAGGCATTTATAGTAATCAGACATCAAACCCTACCCCTGATGAACTTGGGTGTTCACTTTGTAGGCTATCAATCACGGATGCAGCAAGCTACAAGCCTCCAGGCTGAATGGCACAATCTGAGAATTTTCTCTACAGCACAGGGACTGAAGGAGGCACAGCATCCTTCCTCGGAGAGTCTTTGCTGGGCTAAGTACTGCATCAGAGCAAATGGCAGCTTTCTTCAGAAGGAAATTTTAGAGCAGCAGACCTGGGAGGGAGAGGAGGTTTCAAGTCCGTTCCAATTTTTCTGGGATAGGGGGACAAAATTACGGGTCTGAGGGGCTCTGCAGAGGCTGGGATACAGGTTGGCCTTCCCTTCCAACTCCCTCTACCCTGATACAGTTACCTCCGCCTCCGTGCCGGGCAGAACCCAGCTCTGGCCCCGGAGGACTACCCTCTAGCTCTGCCTGCAGATCCTGCCTCAGCACAAACCATAGGTGAGGCTAACTTACATATAAAACCTTGAGAAGCAAGGCTGACATTTCCAAGCTCTCCCGCTTGTTTTGCAAAGGTGCCTCTACTTCCTTGCTGAGTCTTGTGAGTTTTGCAGGAACTCGGCCTTTCTAAAAAATTCATTAAACCTGACAGCTAGAGCATAACTTACGGAGGAGATGCCTTCCACTGTTACCCAGGAGAATTGCCTTACAGGCCCAGGAACGTAAAGAGTCAGCGGTCCTGAAATTCTCAGATATGTCTATACACTGCTTTCAGGAAGATCTGACTATCAGTGAGCTGCTCAGCAGCCCAGTAAGAACAGGATTGCCTATGCTAGTAATAGGCCAGAGGTTTTAAACTAGCAGGCCTTATGCTAACCGTGCCAGGCCCCAGCCCTGGCCTGTTAGACTTGTTATCAATTTGTTTTGAGAACTTGCTGCGTGACCAGAGCTTGGTACCAGGTGTCTCTTGTTGTGACGTACTGTTTAAGCGTGGGATAACAGCAAAGGCCTTGGCAATATGGGCACAAGTTGACAACAGAGGCCCCAGAACTAAAAACAGCTCACTGATGGCCATTTACTGGTCACGGCAGAAACTCAGCCTTGAGAGCTGGGCAAAAAATGCTTCAAGTACAATAAAGAAAAGACTAAACAGTTAATCAAGAAAAAAACAGCCCCGTAAGAGGATAAGGCACCTGCCACTGCCTGTGAAAGTAAAACACCCCCAGCATCACATAGTATGTGGTCCATGGGACAAGGGCCAAAGGCTAAGTCTGAGTCTAGAAACTCAGAAGTCTAGGTTAACTGTCTAGAAACTCAGAAATCTTCTAAAAGGTCAAGACCTTGAATTTGGGGGGAGGAATCATCATCAAGAGAACTGTCACCAAGGAATCACAGTGGAATCATCGGAGCTGCAAGTGTGCCGCTTGCCCCAAGAACACCGGCTCCCCTGCTCTCCCCTCAACTGCTTTCCCTCCCTGCTGTAAGCATTACTGGATATAAACTTAACATGGCTGCTTCTGATTTTTGGCAACAAATGCTTCAAAGGCAACCGTGAAATGATACGTACCCCACCTTCCAAGTAACAGTTGATAAAACAAGTGTATCCTCTGAAGGCTTTAAGGCACACCTAAATTAAAGTCTAAGAGTAGGTCGCTCAGCCCTAACACTAAGTATTTGCTGGCTATCAGCTCTAATCATCCTCTTGCACGAGAGTATTTACTGAAAATCACTTACATGTGGCCTCTTCCACTGTAGCTTCGGGGGGAGTTTCTTTAGTAGTGCCCCCGTTCCAATAGAGCTGATGTGAGCAGGGAAATTCTCATCTGTGAACAGGTACTTATTCTTCAAGCACGTCTCTAGCAACGCCTGGTAGTTCTGCTGGACGGGTGGGTTGTGTTTTTGAAAGACGCTCCTGCCTAAAGGCACAGGTGATTTCTTTTTTTTTAAGCAAGGCATCAAAGGCATGGTGATGTCCACAGCAAAGCCAGGATAAATTTTCCACAGAGGATTCTGCGGGGATCTTGCCCCTGCACAGTCCTGGTGAAAACTCCTTGTTTCTTGGGATGAGGAGTATTCTCCAGAAGAATCCTGATTGTTAAAATAAGCCTAAAAAGTAAAATTAATTCTTTTTAAATTTTCACTTTAGCCAGTAGAGGGGGATGACACTCATGGAAGAAGTGGGAGACCTAACAGTTTCTAAGCTATCGCCTTCCACTGTGCTTTCAAGGTTTCAAATTCTCTGTAGATCTGAGTGGAATGAAGTCAAAATGAGAGGCCCCACCAGTTTTTACCAGGGCTTTGAAACCATACACATAGTCCATTTTTTCTCTCTTTCTAGACTATACTAGACTCTCCAGGATGTTTTCAGATCATGCTGCAACATGAACGACAGTCTTTATTCAATCACATTCCTGTCATATGGACATTTCCAAAAAAAAAAGGGAAGGGAAAGGAAAAAAGAGGTATAAGTTTTAAAACAAACCAAAGGAAAACACAAGAGGAACATATTAGGTGCTACAAAACCATTACTCATAACCCTTCAATGGTTATTTTGACCTCTTTACCTCATTTTGAAGAATGATACAACCTCCCCCCAAGAGATCACATTCCATCTTGCCGATTACCACAACTACACACATGAAATGGCATGCAGAGATTTTTCTTCTTGGAACATTCAAGATAGCTGTTTCTCATCCCCCAGCTAAGAATGATTTCATAAGCCTTTTTTCCTGCCACGTCCATATATGCTAATATTGGTAGCTACACTAAACATTAGCACCCATCATCTTTTGCTGCAAGTGGTAGGCTCCTATTGCACAGAGTATTAAAAATCTGAATTAAAAACTCAGCAGATAAATCACACCCAGCAGTGGTAGTAAGGTGACCATAGCCCCCTTACTACAGTGTTGACTGAAAAAAATGAATCAGGCTAGAAAGTGCAATAAATGGCTTGCGTGCCGTAATGACATAGTATTTGGAACGCTCCCCTGCAGAGGAAGCTCTGTGAAACTCAAAATAGCTGCCCCAGGCAGCCTGGGAAACTGGTCTCAGTTAGGAACCGGTTGATTGTAATTCCCATCCAAGTGCCAGGTCACTGGATTTCCCCATCAGAAAGCAAACCAATCACAGATTGCACCATCCTCCCACACAGAGCTCCCATTTGCTAAAAAAAAACACTCTGTAACCGATCCACCAGGCTTGATCCTCAAGACCAACCAACAGAAAATCTTCAGAAGACAACCTTGGAAACAAAAAAACAAATTTCTATTGGACATGACAAATTTCACACCTGAAAAAGGACTTAAGTGCCTAAAAACAGGTCTCCTTTTCTCCAGATAAAAAATATTGTCTCTCTCCCTCAAAATCTTGCCTTTTTTGCACCCTCTGTCATTCACGGCTACAACAACATGCGCAACAGATAGAGAGAAGGATGTAAGGCAAAAATAAGAGGAAGAAACGGCCTGGAGACTGCACTCTATATGCATAGACAGACAAAAGCGTCTAAAGAACTAATTCTCAGTTTGATGCTCCCCAGGACAGAAGTGGCCAGCAATTGACGTACTTTGAGCTATTCTGAAGAGCAAATACGTGAGCTCTGATTTTCACATGAGCAGAGCATCCACTGTGCCAGATAAAATCATTGTAACTAGTTCCTACCCCAGTCCAGTATTTATTTGAAAAACATCTAGGCCTTATAGATAGGCTTTGAAACCCAGAGGTGGTGTAAAAGACCAGTACTTTCAAAAATGGATGTTTGAATCACCTGAAAATGTAGCCTCATTTTCCAGCTGAGCCAGCAGCCCCTGACTGTGGCGGTGTGTGCTGAGAGTCAATAATGCAACTACTTCACGAGTTTTGAACACCTCCTACCTGAACCCGGCTG